CTAGACTCCACATGTAAGTGAAACCACACGGTATTTGTCTTTCTCTGTCTGACTTATTTCACTTAGCATAATGCTCTCTAGGTCCATCCATGTTGTTGCAAATGGCAAGATTTCACTGTTTTGTTTTTTATTGCTGAATAATATTCCATTGCATGCATACACATACTAATTCTGTAACTTTTTGATTTAAGGGAAAAAAATCCAGAGAAACATAATATAAAACTTAAAGATGAGTTAAAATCATTCCCATGCAAAATTTGCATATCAACCCCCCCCCCAAAAGATTCAAATTCATCCTATATAAATATGTAGTCTTGCCCTGGCCAGTGTGGCTCAGTGGGTAGGAGAATTGTCCTGTACACCAAAAGGTGGCAGATCCAATTCCCGGTCAAGGCACATACCCAGGTTCTGGATTCGATCTCAGATTGGGCCGCCTGTGGTCAGGGTGCATGCAGGAGGCAACCGATCGATGTTTCTCTCTCACATCCATGTCTTTCTCTCTCTCCCTGCCCCCCTTCCTCTCTCCAAAATCAATTTAAAAAAATGAAAAGGTAATTATGTTTAAAAAATGTCTTAATTTCATAACTACTGAATGTCACTTGCATACATGAAAGACACATACACATACATGGAGATGTCTCCCTTGGGGACACCATCCATTCGCATAGCTTTAAATACCATCTATAACCTGACAACTCCCAGGTTCTCTGTCCAGCCTAGACCGCTTCCCTGAATTCAAGCTTGTTGACTTGACTGTGTATTTGGCCTACCCACCTGGTGGATGCCTAATAGGAATCTCAGATGCAGCATGCCCCAAAGAAGCTCCCCCCAACCCACCTCCCAAACCTGCTCCTCTAAGTCTACATTTCAGTGACTGTCAACTCTGGTTTTCCAGTTATTCAATCCAAAAATCCTGGAGTCACGCTTGACTTCTCTCACTTGCCACATCTCACATCTAATCCAAGAGCAAATCCAGTTAGCTGAACCTTCAGGCAGTCACAGAACCTGACCACAGCCACCAACCCGGTCCATGCCACCCTCACACTCAACCCCTAAGTGAAATTCCTGCTTCCTCCCGGCTCTCCTGCCGAATGTACTCGCAGAGAGATTTTATTAAAGCATATATCAGGTCCTGTTACTCCAATATTCTCCAAAGATGCCCAAACCACACAAGTAAAAGCCAACCAGCCCCTCTTCTCGGCCGTTCTGCTTCCACCTCCCACTTCACCTCCTACAACTTTCCGTGGGCTCTCTCCGCTCCAGCTACTCTGGGCTTTTCCCTGAACACGTTAAGCAAGCTCTGCCTCAGAAGCTCTGCACCTGATTTCCTCTGTCTGAAATGTTTACCCCATTATCTCCATGGCTTGTTCCCTCAACTCCCTCCTACAGGTCTTGATTCAAATGCCACCATCTCATGGGGGCCTCTCTACAGTCACTCGAATGAAAATCACACACACCCAACATGCTCTATCTCCTTCTCTGTTATTTTTTCTCAACACCTACCACCACCTAACATAGTCTATATGTTACTGATTTTGCTTATTGAAGGTCTGTCTCCTCCCACTAGAATTTAAGTTTTAGGAATGAAGGGATATGGTTTTTGTTCACTAATACAGCAACTACTAGGTACATGGTGTGTGCTCAGTAAATATTCATGGAAGGAAGGAGGAAACACTAAGAAAAAAAGGTTTACTAGTGACTGTTTTCAATCTTGCTTTATCAATTCTCCTAAAAATGAATTTTCTTAGTCAAGCCACTGAAATTTGGAAGGAACATATGGTACACGAAACAACACGGTTCCCCAACCCATACACACGACCACCAGCCCTTCTGAACATGACTAATCCCAGCAAAACGCTGCCGCGGGCCCACTTCTTTCAGTTGCACCACCACCCGACATGGCCGTGGCTTCCAGATTCACATCTGGCCCGACACTGTACGCGATGCCTGCAAGTGTTTTAACCCAGCCTGTATGGATATTAACCAGCTCTGGAAAGATCAGGCTATGAAAGATCAAGAACTTGTAACACAGAGTAAGACATGTCAGTGCTCCCCCTGAGAAAGAACACCCAAGGTCCAAAGAAACTGCATTGTCTTCAGTAAAACGTAACTTTGGCAAATTCTTTCATGAAAAGGTGCCACAAAGGAGCGACTATTTGGTTGGGTTGCCGTATGTTCGGTTTTTAAATCTTCATATTTTTTATTACAAAATAACACACACTTGTAAGAAATCTGTAATATCACAAATGCAAAGTGAAAAAAGCAGAAGTTCTACCCTGGCCTGCGACGCTCCGAGGTTAGCGTGTCGGCCGGAGCCCTGCAAAGGCCCACACCTGGGCTGCAGGTTTGACCCCGAGGGGCCAGTGCAGGAGGCAACCAATCCAGGTGCCTCTCTCACATCAATGTTTCTGTCGTGCTCTCTCTCCCCAGCTCCCTCCCTCTCCCTCTCTCTAAAAAATAAATGCAAAAAATATCCTGGGGTGAGGGCTAACAACAACAAAGTGAAAGTTTTCTCCTATTCCACCTAAACCCTGGTTCCCTAGAGACAGCAACTATTTCCGTCTAAATCCTTCCACACTTTTCTCCTGTGAATGTACAAATAAATAGACAATTTTTATTTTACAAAAATTGGGCCCCACCACACAGACTGATCTCCAAATTCCTTCTTCCACTCTTACCACTACATGGACACCTTTTGGTGTTAGTACTTTACAGTGTGCCAACGACAAACATCCTCATGTGCCCTCTCAATATACTTTCTATAGCCGCAGTTCTCAAACTTTTTTTTATCTCAAGACCTCTTTGACACTCTGGAAAATTATTGAGGACCCCAAATATATATATATAGGTTATCTCACCATTATTTACCAGACTAGAAGTTTAAACTGAAAATTTTTAATTATTTGTTTAAAAGTAAACATTTTTATTATGACTGGAAAATAATTGTTTCACCCTATTTTTAGATAATTGTAGATATTCTTTGAAATGACACCAAACCTTGGTAACTGGTAGTTTCCTAAAAGTTAGTTGTGATGCGTAATCTAAAACTATTATCAATGAACTTTTGTATTCTGTTGCATTAAAATCCATTTGCCCATGTTATACCTTGAATGAATCCTTTACCCGTGTGTGATTTTATAGTATCGTGTGTTGATCATTTAGAAGAGTGATTCACTGAATTATACAGATTTTCCAAATAACACATTTCATTATAAGATACCAAAATACCGCATTTGTAAATATTACCACCAATCTCTACATCACAGCAGCAGATACAAGTTTTCCACAATCCTATTTTTTTGCTGGAAAGCTAAAATTTTATCATTGGCAACAGATACTGCCAGTTTTCAAGACTCCTTTATACTTTTAGTTTGAATAGCCACAGTTCGTCAGTTGTACATTTTCACCGCAGTTTCAAGTAAAAAGGATAGTCCATGAGAAAAGCAGCTAGTTCAGCCTGCAACTCAAGCTGCCCCAGTGCCCTGCCTCAAGATAATCAGTGCACAACAGAAACTACGGTCTTCCCATTTCCTCCCACATAATATTAAAGACACATACACCAGGGTCAGGAGTTAATAACATTAATAATCTTTGCTGTTTCATCAAAGACATTCTTAAGTGAAAACCTAATTTTTTTTAGCTATGGATGCATAACAGGTATTTAATGACTACCAGTATAGTCAGGTGCCACAGCCTTGATTCACGCGTTACTTTTGCACCATTAGTGCAAGCAGTACAAACAACTGGGTATTGCCTTAATATGCAAACAGTTTTAACCCTGGACCCCCAAAGGGGTATCAGGGACATCTAGGGGACTACACTGTTCTATACCAAGATAGTTCCCTAGAAGTGTGGTTACTGGGTCATTGGTATGTACATTTTAAATTCTGGTAAGTTTGGCCAAAGCTCTCCTTAAAGTCTGTACCGATTTTCCCTACTTAGGTCTGTGTGACCATCCCTAGCATTTTAAAATGTAAATAATTCACTTTATAAATGCTGAATTTGAAAAGCACCAAAACATAACACATTACCATATCTGCCTGTCTAAAAACCAATGCCAAAATATAACCAAATGTTTTAAGGCAAAGTCAAATCCAAGTACCCAGATTATTCAGATGCAGTGAACATTTTCCTGTTGGGAAGTCAAACCTCAACTGTCAAATGCAAATTCACTGAACAGAGACCTTTGCTTACTATAGTGACCCGCTGTTAAGAGGTATTTGTGATTGAATTTCAAACTATAAGCCACTTGTACACACATTACATCTGCTTACAGGGCGGGGGGGCTCAACCGGTATTTTAACATAAAGTGCCCAGTGTGGAAAATGTCAGAGCCAAGTGTAGGAGGAGGGCCCTAATTACCTGGTTCCGGGCGCCCCTTACAAACATCTTCTAGCTGACCCTTAGCTTTAAAGCTCACAGACAATCACTAGAGGTAAACAGTGTCACAGGTACAGTCAGAGCTCCACGCCAACACCTCCATGAAATGTCAAGGGCAACATTTTTTTGCTGCAGATATGTCACCTGCGACCGGGAGCAGGCAGAGGAACTTCCGCCCCACCCCTGGGAGAGGATCACCCCGGGACTGGGCACCCTCCTCGGCTCGGGGAGCGCTGCTTCCCTGCTGGGTTCCCCCCGGCGCCAAAGGGAGCCTTTTCAAGCCCCCTGACGGCTGAGCAGGCCCAGGGTACCACCGCCCGCTAGGAGCTGACTCTTCAGCTCGGAGGGCCCGGAAGCGCTCTGCGCGGGGGCCGCGGGCGGGGCCCCGACACCTGGGGGAAGCCCGGCTTCCGGCGGGGGCGCCCTCGGCCCGGCCTCCCCAGGAACCCGGCCCGGGAGACGGCTCGTCCAAGGTCAACCCGCAGCCGCGCGGAGCAGACGCGACCCGCTCACCGCGCACCTTCTCCTCCCACAGAGCGGCGGGGCCGNGGCCGCCGCAGTGACGGAAGTTCCAGGCGGACCTGGACGGGGCCGGCCCGCGGCCCACGCGCCGCACTCACCATGCTCCACGAACACGTTGCAGTGCGGGCCCCCGTGCCTGGATGACTCCTTCTTCCCCGCTCCCTTGATAAAGTGCAGGGCAGGCAAACTTGGCCGTCTCTGGTCCCCAAGAACTTTTCCAGGCTGCTGCCCCATAAAGCAAGGATAGGTACCCCTTTCCAGAAGAGGGCTCGAGGTCTTCCGGAAGGGTCCGTGGGCTGAGGACAGCGGGACGCTGCGACCCGCGGGATCTCACACTCGCCGCGCGGCCAGGACGCGGTGGCCGGGGGCGGTCACCCGGCGACACCTCCCATCACGACGAACGGAGGCCGGTTGCAGGCTGACACATGAAAACGGGGGTCCGATGGGCTTCGCGGTGTATCGCTTTGAAGTTTCTTGATTTTTAAGCGTCTTTTACTGGCTGGATAACCATTTCTTTCAAGGAGTAAAAAAAAAAACACAAAAAAAAACAAAACCTAAAGAGAAATATTCACAGGAGCCGCTGTAAAAGGGTCGGGGGCACTCCAGTCGTGCCGAGGACTCCCACCCGGAAAGGAAACGCCGGTCGTCCGGGGCGCTCCTCCGGAACTGTCCCCGTGGAAGTCACCCACCCCCCGGTTTCTTCATCTTCGGACAGATTTCCTGCCGGCCGGCCGCGGCC